ATGCCCTCCTCATGCCCTGAAAGCCCATGGGGACTTCTAATCCCCACCTGCCCTCCCGCTGGGCCTTCCTTTCACACATTGAGCTCCTATACACCCCCTGCAGCCCCAGCCAAAGAGCACGCCTGGTGGCACTGCCCCACCTGGACCAGACAGCGCCCTCACAGCAGCAGGCAGCCTTCCCTAGCTGCCCCAGCCCCCAGCCCCCTGAGGCCCCAGCCCTGGCACCTTTCTGCCTCCTGCCCCTGCCCCCAGCCTGAGCCCCCAGGGCAGGATGCACCCCTGCCCGCTCCTTCCTCAGCTAAGTCTGGGACTCTGGAGCCACAGAGGAGGCTGGAAGGCCCCCACCTCAGAGGTGGGTGGGGAGGAGCAGTCTGGGTCAGGTGATGTCAGGTGGGTAAGTGACCCCAGCTCTGGGCCCCCAACACAGGAGCACCTCCATGGATGGACCCCCAGCCTAGACCCCTCCCTGGCTCCTGTTAGCTCATGACAGCTCATAGAGCACAATACTCTGGGTGAGAGAGATGGGGCAATTGTCCTGGTGACAAAGGGACCCTAGAGGGGCCAGGCTTTCCCTGAGCCCCTGAAGGGGGGTGCTCCTGTCAGGGAGGGTGGCTGTAGGTTGTGGCCCAGCCCCAGAAGGACTCTGGCTGCACCCCTGCCCCGTGCTCTTCCCCGGCCACCGCCTTTTGCTCTCCCAGGAAGCCCCCACCCCACCCCAAGCCTCCCACATCACAGAGTGCTGCCCGGCTCTGACCCCTGGCTTACAGAAGGACTGACAGCCAGCGACCCTGACACCCACCTTCAGGTGGCTGAAGGTCAGACCGGCTCTCTGGCCGTCGTTCCTCCAGCTGTCGTGGTTGACCCGGTCCAGGATGCAGAGGCTGTCCAGGCGGTGGCCAGGCAGGGAGCCCAGTTCGCTGAGCAGCCTGGTCAGCACGTGGTCAGTGGAGACCCTGAAATCCAGTCAGCCATGGGCTCGCCTGTACCCACAGTTCACTGCTGCAGGGAGGAGCCTACAGCTGTGCTACCCGTTGCAAGGAAGCCCTGAGTTCAGTGCGGCTGCCTGGGCTGACAGTGGCCCCTCCGTGGGCTTCAAGGGTGACTAGTGAACTGTTACCCAGACTGCCTGGCCCAGACATGGGGCTGAGGGCGACCCAGCCAAGTGGCCCCTCTGGGTGCAGGTGGGTCCCCGAGACTTGGGTAGGCCTTCCCTCTCTCCCTGTCTCCTCTCTCTCACACAGACTTGGGGGGGTCCCTGCCCCTGTTGTGCTGCAGACGAGGCCTCCTGGAAGTGGATGGGGCTACTGGAGCCTCAAACCCCTCCCTAGACACCTCAGGGGTGGGGACCCTCGTGAGGAAGGTGGAGACACTCAGGGTCCCGTGGTCAAGAAGAGCCCCAGAGTGACTTGTCTCCATTATTACACCCAGCTCTCTTGGAGGTCTCTCTGTCCCCCAGAACCTGAGCCTCCTCGGCTATTTCCACCTGAGAGGGAGGTGGGCTTGAGGCCTCCCAGCTCACCACCTACACCTCCCCCCGCCATCAGGGGTCTGGAAGGGGTGATCAACCACACCCGTCACCAGCCAATCCTGCCCAGAGCCCGGCAGGCAGGGGGAGGTGGCATCAGAGAGGGTCGTGGCCAGGCGTTAGGGGGTATCCCCAGGGCAACTCCAACAACCTTGACAGGATTCAGACGCCCTGAGGGCCTGACCCTGGCAGTGCAGAGCTCTGGCCTGAGGAGAGACCCCTGAAGTAGTGCCCCCCACTTCCCTCAGACCCACAGACCAGGAGGTGTGTCCTACCTCCAGTGCTGGTCACTCGCTGGCACCAGGTCCACACCCTGGCCCAGGACCCTCTCCACGCTGCCCTTGGGGAAGCCGGTCGCCAGTGGGGTCCCCTCTGGGGTGGGCACCCTGTGTCGTCTCCTGACCACGGGTACCACGCAGAAGTGGACGGTCCTCCAGCCACTGGACACCAGCAAGGACAGGTGGAGTTCCTCCTCCCGCAAGCTGGATGCATTCAGCGAGCCTGCAGGGGGACACTGAGCTGGACCACTCACTCAGCCCGAGTGCCTTCCACTCTGCAGACCCTCGGCCCACACCCTGACCCCAGCTGCAGGCAGCTGTCCTCCTTCCCACCTCCCCATCCCACCCTAGGTACCAGAGTGGCCCCTCCCCAGACACCAGCACAGTGCCTTTCTAGATGCCTGCACCCTTCCTGGACGCCTTCACCCTCCTTCTGTTGCTGGGTCAGGAGGGTGGCAGGGCCACAAGAGTCACAGGTTCCCCCAGAGCAGGCCCCTCCTGCCTCAAGCCTGGGGGACAGTTCTTAGGACGAGCTGCTGTGGACCCCATGGCCGGCCATAGTCTAGGAAACATGATGGTGCCCCTAACTCCCTGCCTCACCTCTGCCCTCCCCAGCAGGGTGCACAGTGACCCACATACAGGCCTCTGGTCCCTGGGCACTCACTGCCCACCCCCACGCCAGCTGAGCCAAGCAGTACCGCCCTGGACAGCCCTCCTCCCCACCCTCACACCTGCCAGTACTTCACCTTCTCTCATCAGCACCCAGTTACCCTCCCGGAATGCAGAAGTGCCCCCGCCCATCCGGTGCCCAACCAGAGGAGGCAGCCCAGAGCGGCCTGGGGACCTGGTGGCCTCTCCTGGTGCTGGGAAAGGCACTTAGCGATGATGTCACCGTGCGTGGAGTGCTCAGTCCCAGAACAGGTGGGAACAGCCCTTCTGGTTAGGCCACATTTTTTTCCCTTTGGAGGAAACCCAAAAACCAAGGGTGGGCCCTTCAGGGCAGTGGCTAGCCGTGGTCCCTGAGGTTAGAGGAGGGACTTCCAGGGGGCGTGTGAACACTGAGCTCTCCCTGAGGGCCCTGCTCGGTGCCTGTGAGCCCTCCCCTTGGGGCCCCCGGCATCCCCTCATGTAAACTGGTCCTGTTGTCTCCTGGGGGTGGGCTGGAGTAGGACTCCTGGTGGACAGGGATACATATGCCCCCCACATGACTTCTTGGCAGCCCCCTGTGCCCCTAGAATTTCTCATCCACCCAAGGGCCTGTTGAGGTGCTGGGATTTTCTGTCCCACGCGGGCCCTCTTCAGGACAATGAGAAACTGCTCAGCACTTCACACTGTGGCAAGCGAAGCCAGCCCGTCCCCAGGACACGCCCTGCATGAGACCGCTGCCACAGGAAAAATCATGAAAGACAGTTTTCATACCAAAAGAAGCAGACTTTGACGATCACTGAGAAGCTGGGGTGAGCAGGGCTCGTACGGCGAGGGAAAGGGAAGAAAAGAGGTGAATAAAATTTATTTTTTAAAAGATAGTCACAAAAATAGACACATAGAGAGTAGCAGATAGAGATGGATATAGCAGAGATGGATATAGTCACACACAACGATACCTAGATACATAGTCACAGACAGACACCCATTCACACACATAGAGATGCAGTCACGGACAGTCACACACACAGATACACAGTCACGCACAGACACAGTCGCACACATAGATACACAGTCACACACAGAGATACACAGTCACACACAGATTCACAATCACAAACAGTCACACACACAGATACACAGCCACACACAGATTCACAATCACAAACAGTCACACACACAGATACACAGCCACACACAGACAGTCACACACAGAGATACACAGTCACACACAGAGATACAAAATCACACAGAGATACACAGTCATGCACATAGATACACAGTCACACACAGATATACAGAGATGCACAGTCACACACAGATACACAGTCACACACAGAGATACACAGTCACACACAGATACACAGTCACACATAAATTCACAGTCACAGACAGACACACACAGATACACAGCCACACACACACAGTCACACACAGATACATAGTCACACACAGAGATACACAGTCACACAGAGATACACAGTCATACACAGATATACATAGTCGCACACATAGATACAAAATCACACACAGAGATACACAGTCACACACAGAGATACAAAATCACACACAGAGATACATAGTCACGCACATAGGTGCACAGTCACACACAGACACATAGTCACACACAGATACACAGCCACACACAGACAGTCACACACAGAGATACAAAATCACACAGAGATACACAGTCATGCACATAGATACACAGTCACACAAAGATACACAGTTACACACAGAGATACAGTCACACACAGAGATACACAGTCGCACACAGAGATGCACAGTCACACACACAGACACACAGTCACACATAAATTCACAGTCACAGACAGACACACACAAATACACAGCCACACACAGACAGTCACACACAAATACATAGTCACACACATAGATACACAGTCACACACAGAGATACACAGTCACACAGAGATACACAGTCATACACAGATATACATAGTCGCACACATAGATACAAAATCATACACAGAGATACACAGTCACACACAGAGATACATAGTCACGCACATAGATACACAGTCACACACAGATACAAAATCATACACAGAGATACACAGTCACGCACAGAGATCCACAGTCACACACATAGACACACAGTCACACACATAGATTCACAATCACAGTCACACACACAGATACACAGCCACAAACTGACAGTCACACAGAGAGATACACAGTCACACACAGAGATACACAGTCACACTCAGAGATACACAGTCACATTCTATAGATACACAGTCACACAGAGATACATAGTCACACATGGATACAAAAATCACACACATAGATACACAGTCACACACAGAGATACATGGTTGCACACATAGATACATAGTCACACACACAGACAGATACACAGTCACACACATAGATACACAGTCATACAGATACAAAATCACACACAGATACACCGTCACACACAGAGATACATAGTCACAGGCAGAGACACAAAAATCATACACATAGATACACAGTCACACACAGACACACAGGCAGGTAGAGAGCGATAACACCAGAGACAGGCAGTAGCAGAGATGGTCCCGCTCACGAGCACTAAGGGGAGGACGCTGTAACTCCGTGATGGCACAGAAAGACAAAACCCAGGCCCAAGGGATGTGACCCAGAAGTCCCCGTCCTAGGTACAAACCCAGCAGACGGGACGGCAGGGTCACAAATGGGAGCCCATGCGCAAGGCTCAAGGCAGCACTTTCCACACGGAGAGCGGGGACAATGGGCGCGCCCGTCAGCAGTGACAGGTCCAGACACAGTGGTCCTGCACACGATGCAACTCTTCAGTCAGAAAGAGAAGCCTCGGCAGGGGCTGGGGAAGCACCGTGTGGGCCACATGAGCCAGTCACAGGCACATGCACACGCTTGCACACACACATGCATGCACACAGGACACTGTGTGGGCTCCCCTACACGAAATCAGCAAACATGGAAAGCGGAGATTATCAGTGGCCAGAGGCCACGGTCAGAAAGATTCACAGGGGGGAGGATGATGGGACATGACCAGGATGGCAGGCAATGACATGGAAAGTGACAAGGAGCAATGTCACTTCTCAACCGGCCAAGTCCCGGCACAACAGAGGCGACAGGAAGCCCTCCAGGCCTGGGAACAGGTCATTTCCCAGAGGGTTCACTGGGCACCTGACCCCACCCCTGTGAGCTAGAACACCATGTGACCACACAATCCCTCGGTCCGAGGGAGCCCATCAGTCTGTGGATGTGGCTGGCTCTTGCCTACCCAGGACCCAGGAGCCATGGAAGACCGGTGTACAGGGGGCCTGGTCTTTAAGGTCTGAGCTGTGGGGGGCCTGGGACACAGGTGCCTATCCTGACACGCTCAGCCCAATTCCTCCTGGCTGCAAGACTCTAGACGTGTGCCACTGTCCTGGAGGCCAGAGGAAGGGCACCAGGGGGACAGAGCAGCCTGGACCCCAGGTCTGGGCACAGCTCTGCCCCTCCCCCAGGTGGGCCATGCAGCCCCTGCTAGAGGATGAGGTCCCCGTCCCCAGATGCTGCCCCTGCATGGCCATGGCCACCAGGGCCACCTTGCCCAGAGGGGCCAGAGGTCAGGCCCATGCTCAAAAAGGCAGCTGTGCCTGGAATGTAGTTCCCCTCTTAGCCACAAGAGTCCTGGTCTGTTCCCAGTCCACCAGTGTCCCGCCACCCCTGACCTCAGGCTCCCCGGGAGGAAGCTCCGCCCATATGCCGGAGCACAAAATCCATCTTGAATTCCTACGCCCAGCACCGCCTCCCAACCCACCTGTCTCTCTCCTCCCAGAGCAAACAGGGGCAGCAGGGTCCACTTGGTTGTGCCTTAGCTCATCCCTACCATGGCCTGTCCCTGGGCGAGGCAGTGGGCCTTGGGGCACAGGGCAGGTGGGAAGGGTCACTGTCATTCAGACCACAGACAAGGTTCCACCCGTGGTAATGACAAGCTCTAGGGGTGGGGCAGACACCTAATGACAGGCCCTGCCACCCTCGGGCTGCTCAGCACTCCCAGAGAAGTGGGCACCTGCCGGATCACAGGCCAGACTGAGGACAGGCCCTTCCGAGGCTGCCCAGCTGTCCCTGGCACTGCAACTTGAAGGGGGTGGCATCAGCCCAGGTGTTGACAGTTGGTCTGGAAGTCAGAGGTCTTCTCAGGCCCCCAGGTTTCCTGTGCTGTGCCCTACAACCCTGCCCAGAAAGTGCCAGCAGGAGACAACGGTCCTGGAGACCCCACCCCTTTGCCCCGGAGGGCTGGACCCAAGCAGGCCTGGCTCTGGGTCTGAGCATCCCTGACTCCACCTCACAGGCTGGGCACATACATGCACCCTCACACACATTTACACATGTGTACAATCGCATGCACTCACACATGCACGCACTCACACATGTACACATACATGCACGCACATACTCACACATGCACACACATCCACACATTCACGCACATGTACACTCACACATGCACACTCACATGCACATGCATGCATGTGCACACACATACTAATTCACACTCACGCATGCACACAGTCACAGGCACATGCTCACGTGCATATACTCTTACAAGCACATACACATACACACAGGCTCACAGATGCACACAGGCACATTCACACATATGCTCAGGCATACACTCACTGCACAGCATGCATACACATGCTCGAACACACATACACTCACATACGCAAGCATACCTGCACACGCATGCACATGTGCACACATACCCCTCCCACAAAGTGCAAAGTGACCGACATCAGCTGTGAGGCCCGCATGGATGGGCTGCTGGCAGTCAGGAACCCGCAGCAGAAAGCCCGTGGGAGATCAATGGCCTGGTCAAGAAAGTGATCTCACCCACTGCCACGGAGGCGCTTCGAGCTCACTATTCCCCAGTCAGAGCAGGACTGTCCTCGGGGTGGGCTCACAGAACTGCCGGTGGGCTCAAACTGCTACGCTGGCAGCCGGCAGCCTGATTTGCCACCCACTGCGCCACCGGGGCTTCTTAAAAAGAAATATCCAGACAGCTTATTACAAAAGTCACCATTCGAAAGTTAGGTGACAAGATGCATGTGTTGGTAAATTAAATGAATTCGCAGCTAAGACTCAGCGCCTTGTCCTCAGCTGCGTACCCAGACTCGCTCAAACAGCCCCAACCCTGCTCAC